TATATATATATATATAGAGAGAGAGAGAGAGAGAGAGAGAGAGAGGGGGGGGGAGAGGGAGAGGAATTCTGGCTCGCAAGAAACCTCCACCTCCATCTCACCACCTCAATCCACCTCAAACCAACTCTACTCAACTCCACTCAACTCTACTCAACTTAACCCAACTCAACCCAACTCAACCCAACCCAACTCAACCCAACCCAACTCAACCCAACCCAACTCAACCCAACTCAACCCAACCCAACTCAACGCAACCCAACTCAACGCAACCCAACTCAACGCAACCCAACTCAACTCAACCCAACCCAACTCAACCCAACTCAACCCAAACCAACTCAACCCACATTTTTAATACCAGAAAAGACCAAACCAAAGAAGACCAGACATCCTTCGAATATGTTACTAGAACACATGGAAAATACAGGAGAATTTGAGTACTGAACCCATCTGAACCCATATGAAGTAACCTGAAGCCAACAGAAGCCAACTGAATCCAACTAAATTCATAAAACAATAGCATATTTTTAAATTTGGTTTCGTAATAACAGAATAATAGTAAATGAAGGAAAAACGATTTTAATGTAATTTTCCATTTCAAATAAATTATTGTTCACTCCATGAAGGACTTGCTGTTGACAGATGTTAAGGTATCATTTTGGTTCCCTCAATTCTGTCAATTTTCAAATGTAACGTCCATTTAAATGAATTGAACACAAACTTAAGTTCATTAGGCTAATTGTTCAAAATTCTTTCAAATTTAGTCAGCCTTCATACTGCTTGTTGAGCAAATTTCGCGAATGTACATTTCGGTCCGAGATACGGCATACTATTCTGGGGAAACTTTCTATTGTTCCCAGATTACAGAAAATAATTCTCCCACATGATTCTTATGAGCCGCGCTTTATTAAGCTACGAACTATACCATTGCCGTAATGTGACCACCTGTCAAAATTCTGAATAACCCATATTGCATCGCTGACCGCTGCGAGACTTACAGGCGTCAATTAGGTTCTGTATGGTACCGACAGGGATGCGGAGTCGTGCCGATTCCATTGCCGTGACCAGCTGCGTTAGGTTCGTCGGTTGAGGATTCATAATGCGAAGAGCTCGATCGCGATGTCACACAGATTCTGGATTGAGTTTGGTGGCTAGGGGAATACTGCAGACTCATCCTGATGCTCTTCAACCCACGCACGTACACTGCGAGCTGCATGACACGTGGCAATATCATGCTGGTTGATGCCATTTTGCTGACGAAAAACGATCTGCATACAGCGGTGGACATGGTCCACAAGGATGGCTGCATACTGTGACGTCATCGATACTCACAGCAAACACAAACACAGAGCTTTCATATAACAAATATTTATTTACAAAGAAAACACAACAAATATTTACAATGAATTTCCTTCTTGCACCCTAGCTCTGATAGACCTACTATCCCCTAATCACGGGAGCGATCCAAACCCGATTGATGATCGGTTTCGATTGTGGCATTCGCCACTCCTATTTCTGAAGCGCGCACAAAGCCAAGCTTCTGTGATCGGATGTCACACTGGGACACAAAGTCCGTACTGGCGTACCAACTGATGGTGTGCCTCTATCGCAGGAGCGATCTTACCCGATTGAGAATCTGCGTGAATCGTGGCACTCAACCACTCTTCACCTCGGAGCACGCACCCAACATCGCTCCCACGTGACCGCAGTCACCCAAGGACACAAAGTTCTCCACAGTCTCGTCAACACGTCACTTGCCTCGCGAGCCCTGCCCGCCGCAGCACCGTCGTGGCGCCAAGTTTTGTGCAACTGCACGAGATTCTCCCACTGTCTCTAGAACCCACCCACTGGTTCTTGCTTTAAGGAAAACCCCTTCTCTCCTTCCTGTGGCGAGGAGTTTCCTCTTACTAATCCCTTACCAAGCGTCCCCAGATAGATGCCAAGAGGCACGCTGGCTAATACGTTACAATACTTCTTTTAATCCACAGTGCCTTTCAGAATGACGAGATCACCCAGGGAATGCCACGAAAACAATCCCCACGCCATCCCGCTGCCTCCTCCGGCCTGAACCCGTCCGGCGATTGTTGCAGGATGTTTGCGTTCAGACGTTTCACTCCATATACGCCAACGACCGATCGAGCAAGACATATGTTACGCCTCAGTGGACGTCCAGTTGCGGTATTGGCGTGCAAATTCCAGCCTTCGTCGTCGATGAACAGCATGAGTTCACGAACCATGCGCCTGCTGTAGAGATCCATACGCAGCAACATTCGCTCAACGGTTGTTGAAGAGACCATGTTTGTAGCGCCTTGGTTCATTTGGGTGGTCTGTTGCTCTACAGCTGCATGTACACATCTCCACAGCCGTCGTTCTTCCATGCCATCCATGGTCCGTGGTGCACAGTTGCCTCAACGCCGGTTTTGAATATTGCCATTTTGCCAAGCACACTTTAGCCACGGCGTTGCGCGAGCACTTTACAATCTTAGCCGTTTCGGAAATGCTTCCGGCCTTGGCCCGAAAGTCAATGATCAAGCCCTTTTGGGCGTCCTATAAATCGCTCCCTTTCTGCATTTCGACAACTACTGCACGAACGAACGAACGAACGAAACGAACGAACGAAACGAACGAACGAAACGAACAAACGAACGAAACGAACAAACGAACAAACGAACAAACGAACGAACGAACAAACGAACAAACGAACGAAACGAACAAACGAACGAAACGAACAAACGAACAAACGAACGAAACGAACAAACGAACGAAACGAACAAACGAACGAAACGAACAAACGAACGAAACGAACGACCAAAAGAACGAACGAAAGAACTAACAAAAGAACGGACAAAAGAACTAACAAAAGAACGGACAAAAGAACGAACAAAAGAACGAACAAAAGAACGGACAAAAGAACTAACAAAAGAACGGACAAAAGAACGAACAAAAGAACGGACAAAAGAACGAACAAATGAACGAACAAAGGAACAAACAAACAAACAAGCAAAACACTATTTGTCTCGCTCCCGTTAATCATCTTTACTTCGCCGTTTCCTCTTCACTCCATTCCTCGTTTCGCGTCCCCGCCTGTCCTCTCGAGCGTCTCACCACTTGACTTCTCCCTCTCTCTACCGGTTTGTCTCGCTCCCCTATAATGTTTTTTTAACGTGGCATCTCAAGGTCACACACGAAAAAGGGAGAGGGGAAAACACGACTCCAATAGGGAGCTGCAACGTTCCTACAGCTCCCACTTTCACGGTTCCCTATAAATTCGTACGTGACCTTGAACGAAACGTCGAAAAAATCGAAATATAACTCTCTTCTAACGTAGGGTTGAGCGTTTCTTTTGTATATTTCGAAACTTTCAGAATATTTTTGTTGTTTCTAAACGTGTACATTAGAATTGCGCCTCTGTGAGGTCAACCACGGCCTAGTCTTGTTTACAGGTTGTGAGATCTGTGCATGTAGAAATATGGATGATATTTTTGATTGCGGCTGAGTTAGAAAGTTTTACTTCGCCACAAAATCACAATGAAAATTGTACAATAACAAGCAGGGAACGAAAAAAAACTAATTTGAAATACAATATCCTCAGAATGAATTTTAATTTCCAATTTCATGTAGTTATTGTGTTTGATGGTTTTGTAGGTTGACCGACTTGCTGCAGCATTAATGGAACTAGGTTTGGAACCTGGAAGCAGAATTGGTATATGGGGTCCAAACTCTAGTGAGTGGTATATCACGAGTTTGGCTGCATCACGTGCAGGACTTATATTGGTAAGTATCTCTGAACAATAAAAAGAAATATTAATGTTTTTCCAACATATTTAGTGTTACGCTAGAAAAGTAATTTTATATCCTCTGTAAAAAAGATTTCCTAATGGGAAATGCACTATGTTTGTGTTTCTCTGAATGTCACATATATATTCGAGAATGTTCATTCCCGCCTGAGATAGGCATACTATTCTGGAGAAACACGTCCTATAGCTCCCAGACTTTAAGGTTACATATAATAATTGTACGAATAATACAAAAATCCCCCTCCTCACGTGATTTTTAAGTGTCACTTTAAGGTACGAACTCTACCATTGGCTTGCCTCTTGATTTGTAAATCTGTGATTTTGGACAATAATGACAAGGGCGGGAACATGTTTTCAATCAATACAGGCACGCACTGAAGTTACGGACTAAACTCGACGTGGTAATCATATTTATCAGTTGCTAGTATCAACGGCACAAAAAAATCAAATACAATACATGTACATTATTTTACCTTACATTGCCCAATGACATGCCCATTAAAGAATTAAAATCGATACACAAGTTGAAATGCCAATAACAAATTTTCTGCTGCATAACTTGCTATATATAGATAGCATCTTAAGCTTTCACGGTTAGAGTCAATTTCAGAGCATGTTTCCGGGCTGGTAGGTGGTGGTCCAGGTGATGTTGGCCAAAAGGGCCAAAAGTTTCGCCAACGACTATTCATAAACATCCTCATTGGCGGAAGGCTCGGGAACCAACCAGCCCGGAAACCTTTTCTGATAATACTACACAATTAGAGGCTATATCGAGCTTAAAAAAGGAAAGCAATTGAGCAGGTTACCATTTGAACTATAAATCTAAACGACTGTAACAAGTAAAACGACTGTAACAACAAGTAAATCTAAACGACTGTAAATATCTATAACAAGTATTGTAGCACTGCTTTTGGGTCAACGATCCCTCCCCCTTGAGGTTTCTGTAGTTTCCCTGATCCTTTGAGCAATTGCTGAGATAGTCCCTCAGTTTGCTTTTGGATATAAATGTAAAATTACTAACTGTGCACGTAAATATAGTTATTCTAATTATCTCTTTACATGTTCTCGCGGTTGTAAGTCAATGCCTTCACGATGGGCACAATAAGGGATAAGAGCAAAATCTGCAGCTGATATGCCTTTGCAAATAGTTTTTATTGCACGAAAGAATATTTTCTTATTAATTCTTGCCAAAAACGCTAGTTTCCGCCTGCATTCATAATTCAACTAGTACATGGGTTAGAGTAGGGAACCTAGAATTTTCGAAAACGTGCGTAGATTACACTTCTCCTTACGGTACATCACATAGTTTTTTGAAACAATTTTTGACGTTAAATAAATAAAAACTCTTTAAGTGCTAGAGCACGAGAGACGGATGGGTGGGCGGACGGACGGACGGGCGGACGGACGGACGGACGGACGGGCGGACGGGCGGACGGGCAGAA